AAAAGCTACACATCACACACAATCTAAAGAAACTTTAGCACAGCTGAGAAACATCACTGACATCTGACAGGGTCCATCTGAGCCACTATGGAGACTTTCAACTGGACCTTCCCCGGATTCACTGACCTGGCAAAATTACTCCATGAGTGCAACAGCTCATCCAGGAGGTCACAAAAACACCCAGAACAACCTTTAAAAACCTGCTGGCCTCACCTCCCTCAGTTAAGATCAGTGTTCAGGATACAATGATTAGAGAGAGCCTGGGCAAAAACTGCATCGATGGGAAAGTTGAGGTGAAAACCACCGTTGACAAAAAAGAACACAAAGGCTCACATTTGCAAAAAAAAAAAAAAAAAAAAAAAAAAAAAAAAAAAGGTTTTGAAGACTCCAAAGGCTTCTGGGAAAATATTTCATGGACTGACCAGACAAAAGTCAAACTTTTTAAAAGCTGGAAGTTCTGTTACTTCTGCTGTAAAACTGACACTGCATTTATATACAGAAAATCACCAACGAAGAAGTTCTGCAAAGAAGAGAAGGTTTCTCCCACTTTCTTACCTTCTGGAGATCTTTGGTTGTGGCTGACCTTCATGCATTTTCATCTTGGGCTACCAGGGTACTTGTAGCTGTCCTGTATAAGTACTATTCTGCTTTCTGGCAACTCCAGACCATCATTTAAGATCATCTTCCCTCTCTTTTTGCAATCATTTGGTGACTCTTACCCAGTCTGAATAACATCCAAATGTCCTTGTTGTAGATCCCGGTGATCCTGATGGATCAGTTAGTCAACATCTCTCTCCCTTATGGCATATAGCTTTTTTGCAGTTTCTCTTAGCATTGCACAGACTTATAACCAGCAAACTGCACAAATCTCTGCTTTTACAGAAGTGCATTTGATCACCTGACTCTGCCAAACATTTATATTTTTACTACTTGTTTCAGTTTGAGAGAATGTTAACATCTCAGTCTGGAACTCATTTTTCCAAAATCAAGTCACTATAATTGAAAAGCTTCTTTTAACCTTTTAGTGCTACCAGATTCCCTTAGCTTGCTATGCTAAGCTAAATAAAAGCTGCAATAGTAACTGTAAAGACAGGAGCAAGAAAGTCAACAATCATAAAATAAAGAACAAAAAGTGTCCCATTCAGTTGCATGGAAAAGTATGAATCTTTAAATCTTTAAATCTGGATGTGAACAGGTAATTTTGTCAAAGTAAGCTAACCCACTGCTACTTAGTATGAATTCATAAGGATCTATCTTTCTACGTATCTAAATCTTGGCACAAAAGCAAATACATTTAGAAATGTCAGTCTTTTTTATTAAATTTCAACTCAAGGTTATTTCAGCCCTTATTGCTCCTTATTGTAACATCAAACACAGGCAAAGAAACACCCTTCAAAACAAACACTAGTCCTACGGCAAACTACACGGCTGGGCATGCCAGAGATACAGTATGATAAGGCCCTTTGAGTAATAAATGCAGTTCATGTCAGGAATGTATCTGGAGGGGGGCACACTGTGGAACAGACAAGATGGAGTCACAGCAAGGCAACACCCCTCACCACGGGGGTCTCCCAGCTGGTGTGACACCAGACCATCTGTGGACCTGTTTATCCCAGAGAGCTGAGGTGGTCATGTGGAACCGAATGTGTGTGTGTGTG